GACAGTCAGCCAGAGACAGAGCTGAGGACCAGGGCTACTGCTCAGGGCAGGCCTCAGGACACATGGCCTTCTTAGTAGGAACCACACAGAACACATCATATGGCAACTCTGGTTCTGGAAGAAGCTCAGCTCTGTGGTGGGCATGGGGGAAGCTGAGGGCAGAGCTATGTGTACTAGGCAAGAAGAAAAATAGCACAAGACAGGGCCACTCATCTCCCTCTACTTTGGGTCTCCATCAGATCCAAGGATAGGCCTCCCTGTCCTAGGACCATTGGCTGCTGACTTCTTCCCCAGATTCAGGCCCGGAAGCCAAACTGCCCAAGGATGTGGAAAGAATGGGCATTCCTCTGGCTCAAGTTCAGTTCAGTGGGCCATAGGTCTTCCCTGTGTCCCAGATTGTGTTTGGGATGTTGGTACACATTGTCTCAATCAGTCCTTGCTAGTCAGTGGGATGGCGCTTGACAGTTTTAATATAGAGGAAGTTAAGTGCAGAAAGGTCAATGTGCCTGTAGCAAGGTATTAAACTTGGATTTGGACCTGGGCCTCCTGCCCAAGCCATGAGCCCACTCTTCCTCCTCTCCCAGGGGCTGCAAGGAAGGGTGTCTACCTGGACAGTATCCTGTCCTCAGAGGATGACAGCATAGAGAAATCCTCCTAAAAGTTTAAAAATCTTATTCTGGATCAACAAATTTTTAAATTTTGAATAAACATTAGGGCCTTTTGCAAACTGAATTAAAAAGTTCTGCAGAGCAAAGTGACCAACAGATTATTAGGTAGTGAGCGGGGCTCATTCTGGGATTTTGTTTTCATGCCCTGAAGCGCCCAGCCTTGTAAGTCTATCCATGGTCTCCTCCCGCAAAGCAAACAGTACACTGGTCCCTGATTGACTGTATTAAAACACTCTTGTGACCTCCATCAAAAGGACAAGCAGACTCCACTCCAAGTCTAGCACCAGGGGCTCAGCACCAAGCCACCCAGGAAGGAGTGCCACCCTCAGTGTCATGAGTCTAAGTGTAAGCACAGGGGCCATCTCATGCTTGGACTTCCCTTCATGCATGCATGCCTTTCCTGCTCATCCTCCCTTGACCACTGTACTGGAAACTTCTCTGAGCATCACATGGCCAACTGAGTCACTTTCCCGGCAGCTGCTGGGATGAGGGTGAGGGGCAGTGGAGGAGGTGGTGATATAGAAACTTCCTTGAGTCAGTCCTTGCACTTGCCTGGGAACAGGGCAGCTGAGCATTCCTGGGAAGCCACAGGGGACTCTGGATAGGTTCTTCCCGGGAGCCGCCCTGACCTCTTGGATTTAAGATCTAAGCCCTGAGCCTGAAGGAAATGCCCTGACGTAAGTTTCAGTGACAGCAAGTGGCTGCAGAGTATGATCAGGACAAAGCAGAGACTGCTCCAGGGTCACTCGGCAGCCGGAGTGACTGAGAGTAAGGCTACTTCTCTCCCAAAGGAACAGAAGCGCCTGTGCTGGGCTCACCTGCTGGGAGCAGCTAGGATGCCGGTAGCCAGAAGGCAGTGAGACACAACACTCACAAGCAGGCAGAGAAGTTTTGCCACTCACTGAAGGCAGCAAGTGTAACAGAAGGCAGGGCCCAAGGGCACTGGTACCCAAGGCTCAGTAAGGCAGCCAGGGGAGACGGGTCCTCTCCCCGACATGACCACCTTGCCCACACAGGGGCTCTGAGGATGCTCTGCTCTGGCACCACGTAGCTCATGGAGTCCAAGAGTTGCGGAATATTATCTGGGTGGAAGGGCTGCCCAGCCTGGGCACTCCAGACGTTTCCTCTTAGAACACGGTATGCTCTCCCCCTTCCGCCTGAGACGTGCAGGCACAGGGGGACAGCCAGGTCAGTGAGGCCCCCGGGACCTAGTGCTCAGAGCCGCAGCCTGCAGCTGTCCTACCCCTTTGCTCCGCAACACTCGCGGGCTAGTTTCGGTCTTTGCTCTGTGACGTCCCACAGGCTGGCTCAAGTCTCGGGTCCATAGAGGCGGCACAGCCGAGACCAGGGGCTCCTCAGCGGCAACGAGGCCACTCCCGCCCCAGCACTGGAGTCAGTCTCTACCGCTTACCCTTAGCTCTGAGACAGTGACCAGAGTCCCTTGAAATCGTGGACTTATTTCTCACAGTGTTGTTGAGGACCGGCCCCCGCCATTATTTACCACAGGAACTCTTGAAAAACGAGGGATAAGAGACTTAGTCGGAACTTCGAGAGAAACAGACAGAAAACACGGGATAAGACTCAGGTGGGTCTGGATCCTTATCCAAAGGGCCCAGAACTTTATTCCAAAGGCCTATTTGTAACAATGCCAAGGGGTGGAGCAAGACCTCCCCCTGGCTAGTTACAGTCACCTGGTACCCAGGCCCGTGGTCCAATCAACCTCTTATGAAGCAGCCCTGCTGGGTACAGCCACTAGGAAACTGAGTGGGCTCCAACACAGTGTCACCCAACCCCACCAAACGGCGAGGCTAGTAGAGGTTTTCCACCACTAGATACTGAAGTTAGTCTATGCACGTGCCCCTAGCAAAGGTCAAAGGGCATTCCAATGTCACATGATGACACTGAAATTCCTGAGCACAACACAGAGAAATAGAAGGTTGGAATCCTTGGAAAATCAGCCACAGGGCTGGAGACAGGGCTCAGCAGTTAAAAGCACTGGCTGCTCCTTGTAAAGGACCTGGGTTTGATTCCCAGTACCAACATGGCAGCTAATAAATGTCTGCAATTCTGGTTCCAGGGCATCTGACACCCTCTTTTGACTTCTGTGGGTAGCAGGTAGGGATGTGGTACACAGACATGCATGCAGGCAAAACTCCCATATACACAAAACAAATAAAAATAAGTAAGCTAGCCTGAAGAAACAGCCTGGGATGGAAAGACAACCTTCCTATATAAAGACAGACTTTCTCCTGGCATTGGCCTGTCAGGTAAGCAGAACCTCCAAATGAATTCCAAAGAAACCTTTGGATCTGTGGGCTGGAGAAGTCAAGTTCAGTTACCCAAGGGATTTCTGAAAAAGGTAAGAGAGCCTTTCCTTGCCACACTGAAAACAGAAAGTTGAGGACCAGAATACTAGAAGCAAGAGATGCTAAGAGGCAGGCGGATCTCCGAGGCCCAGGCCTGCCTAGTCTACATAGAGAAATCCTGTCTCAAAAAACAAAAACAAAAACAAACAAACAGCAAAAGAGGGGGCGGGCAGCTAATGTGAATGGGACAATACAACAGAGGCACAGGACCAGGAGAGGGAGTCTCACCTTCAATAACTCGAGAATTCAGGCCTGTGCACGATTCAACAAGCTGGCCAGCTTGGCCTATCTGATCCCTACCACTCCCCTGTCAATAAATCCTGAAATGTTCCCAAAGACAAATTCATGAAAATGAAAATGATCCTGGCCTGAGATGAATTCCGATGTGTGACTTCCAAGGCTTTCAAGGTAGAAATAGTTCTTGCTTTACAGCTTAAGCTATTTGAAGTCAACTGAGAAAGCTAACACATTGCAAGGCAAATGATGAATGAAGGAAAAGAATTTACAAAGACTATCTAAGGTTTTCTACTTTCCATATGTAAAAATGCTTTACAGATAGCCTGGTGTGGTGGTTCACACCTTGAATCCCAGCATTTGGGCAGAGGCGGGCAGATCTCTGCGAGTTTGAAGCTAGCCTGTTCTACAAAGCAAGTTCCAGGATAGCCTGGGCTATGGAGACAGACCCTGTCTGAGAACAAACCAAACTAAGAAACAAACCATTTACAGATGCAACATTTGAGTTTGACTGCTCCCTTAGACAAAGAACGAAACTGGGAGCTAAGGGGATTGATTGCTCAGTGGGAAAAGGGCTGGTCACAGAAGCATGGAGATGTGGGTCAGAGCCCCAGAGCCCACAGCCAGCTGTGCATGGTCATGTGTGTCTACAGCAAGAACTTCTCCAGCAAGGTGGCAGGGAGGGACGCACATTCACGTGCTGTGCACAGCGGCTCTAACGTTGGAAAGGAGGACTGGCCCCAGAGGTCATCCTCTGACCTCTACATGTACACTGGGTACACATATACCTGTACTCACACATACAAAATGCACACACACCTAAATAGTTTCAAAATAATCTAAGAACGGGTGCCACCACAGGGCAGCAAGAACAAATGAGGATGCATTGTGAGGTGAAAGAGGACATATAGGAGACCCACTGAGGCAGTATCAAGGGCAGATGGGAAGGTATGCTGGCTGCTAAGAAATGCTTCCACCCTGAGGACGTGAAGTCTCCTGCCTTCCTGGGGAAGCCACTGGGGAGGAGGCTGACCGAGTGCATCTCTTGCCAGCCTCTGACTTGTGAGCTCTCACTGATGTGCTGGTGTTTGTGCCTACACAGTGCAAGCAACAAGGTGCCTTTCCTTACAGGAGACTGCTGTACAACAGCAGGCACAGCTGGCCGCTGCTCATCCCAAGAGTCTCTACTCTTCTATGGCGACTTGGTATCCAAAGTCCTATAGCAGAGGGTACAGAGTGAGTCCCAGCAAGCCCCTTCTAAGAGCTAGCCTGAGCTAGCCACACGCAAGGACATAATAGGTGCGTCTGTGTCAGCCATAGTGAGACCAGAGTGCAAGTTTCCAGCCTCAGGTCTCTCAGGAAGAGGCTGATAACATTGGAGGTCCATGTGGCTTGGTGGGGGAAACAGCCACTCCATCCTTGCAAGTGGGAGAAGGTGCCCCCCCCCACAGCATCCAATAGGATGCATGCTAACATGACACCTGGTGATGCAAAGCCAGGCGGTGATGGAGATCCCTGGGAGAAGCAAGAGCACCACACAACGCAGGTCACTCCCACTGCTCCAGCTTCTCCTGGGTGGAGGGAACTTGACAGGAGCCAACAGACACAGAGAACAGGCTCTGTGCCTTGTGACCAAAGTAAATGAGTAAGGTGTGAGGTCGCCGGGAACGTGTTTTCTTCTTCGAACTCGGCTGTTGCCCAACAACACCCAGACACGAGGAGAAAGCAGGGCTTCAATTTCAACACTTTATTGCAATTATTCAAGTTTTTACTGCTGTTTACAAATGTGTCATTTTTAAGGGACCTTTACAAGTCTGTCTCAATAATGTGGCTCCTGCCCACGGGCCTGTTTCACACGCCACCAGCCTCACCCTCAGAACAGGAGTGGAGCACATGTACCCTGGCAGTGACTAAGGATACAGGCTTCCTCCTTGCAAGGCATGTGATGCCTGCAAGCTAACAGGACATCTATCGAAGTCTGGGTGTCCAGAGAGCCAGTCTCTGCCCCAGGGACAAAGACATACCCAATGGGTGGATATGAAAACACACATATTTTTAAAAATCCATCAAGTCTACTTTGTGCCTGCACATAAACTCTTGGTGTGTGAACATACAATGGAGCATGGTCAACCCACCAGTGGCCACTCTTAAAAGAAAACTGACCCTTCCTCCCCCAGAAGTCATCACTGCTGATACATTTTCTATCACTTCAACTCTGTCGGCATCGGAGCCACCAATGAAAGCTCTGCAGCCAGACTGCTTCACCCCGGGAACCACGTGACTTATCTTAATGCCACACTCTACCGACCTTAGCCACTTCTGTGACATGCTGCTCAGCCTCCAATCGGACAGGATAGTAAAGCTCCCCCGCCTCCCCCCCAAAAAAACCCAAGTCACCCACACAGGTGACTGAGGTGACCATTGTGCGGCAGGAAGGGAAAAGCACAAACCCCAAGAGCTGGCAGGACCCGAGGAGACCTAAGACTTAGTCCTCGCTGTTGGGAAAAGCCACAGATCCAGGTGGAGGGGATCATCTGTGAACGCATGGTTCCCATGTTCCACGGGGACTCCAGGTGGCGGTCCCCAGAGCCCACCCATGCCACTGGGCTGGAGTGGAACTCTGGGAGGTGGCTGAGCCAGGGCGGGGGGTGGGCTTGACCAAGAGCAAGGTGCTCAAGAGGCTCTTGGGCTCGGTAAGCACCTGGGCCTCAGTACAGCCCATCGGAAAGGCTAAGAGGACAGGATCCTCCCTACAGCGGGAAGGGACGGCAGCATGGCCCCATAGCTTTCAGAAGCACTAGGGTCTGGCTGGGGCCAGTGTAGCAGGGTCATGCCACGTGTGAATTTGCTGAGGGAGGCTTGGTGGGGACAGATGGCACTGGGCATTGCCCCTGTTTTAGAAATAAAAGGACTGAAACCACTGCCACCCAGTCACTGACACAGTGGGGATGTCATGGTGAGTAGGCTAGATGTCCCCACCACCATGCCCTTCCCCTGTGGGGGCCCTTCCTCAGTGGAAACTTCTGGTGCTACCAAAATAAGTAATAAAGCATTTTTTCCCATAAAAATCTTCAAATGACATCGTTCTCATGCTCCATGGTACAGAGCCATAAGTAACAACACCACAGAAAGGTTAAAGAATCAGAAGGCAGAATAGAGAATAGAGCTTTGCAAAAATCTCCCATGGACCCCAAAGTTCCCCTGAGCAGAAGCCTTCATTGTGAGCCCCGATTTTTCCTTCCTATCTGTATCCCAAGAGAGCATGGGTAAAATCCTTCATTAAAATCCCAAGACCCTCAGGGAGACACACTGTGCAAACTCCTTGACCCACCACGTGGGACATGACCTGTCCCCATTGGAGGATGGGGATGACAGGTCGACGAGGGACCAGAAGAGGCACGGTGTGCGTGGTTTTCAGCGTGGGTATCTTGGTGTCCTGGGTCCAGGCCTCTGGGTCAGCTGCTTCTGCTGTGGCCGCCTCTGCCACCATGTCTACAGCTGGGACTTCAGCCTGCTGGCCAAGGGTTTGTTGGCAGTGAACTCAGGCCACCAGGTGGCACGCTCCAACACCCCGTCCTGCTGCAGGACGGCTGCCCACAGGTTTTTATAGAGCTGCAGGGAGAAGAAAAGGGCGGTAGCTGGCAGAGGGTAAGTGGCCAGTGTGATTCCCTCTGGTTTTGTGAGGACAGGAAATATCCCACTGTCACTTTTTTGGAAATGTTAAGATGATGTATGTTTAATTTATATAAGCCTTTAATTTTTTTAGTAGGAAGTAATTAAGGAAATTTAATTATAAAGTGCCATAAAAGCATTTCTGATGGGAACCATCCCCTTGTGAGATGTCCCTCCCTGGGAATTCTTTGTCCATGGTGGCCACCCCTACATCCGCATAGGCTCGTTGCCCCCACCCCTACCCTCACCTCCCACATCTGCCAGGACAAGTTCTGTCTTCTCTGAGACCTGTCCCCAGCTACCCTACAGCTCAGGATGCACAAGCCAGGAGACCAGGGCAAGGCTGGGGGCTTGGGTCCCCATTGGCCCTACTAGAGTCCGAGCTGTTCTTAACTACAGTTCCTCAATGGAAAACAGGTAGAGTGGATGCTATCTAATGAGACCTAGCCAGATCCTACACTTCATGCAGACATGGACACCTTGGGCAGTCAGCCAGGGCAGAGCCACAACAGAGCAGATGGCTCAGAGGGACCCATGGCACACAGCTGCCCCTACCCCACCCTCCCCCGCCCCGCACTGCAGACCTGGCCTGCTCCCCCATGGAGTGTGAACTTGACCACATTTCACCATGCTGAGCATTGTGCTCTCTCAGATCCCCAGCTGAGTTTGCGCACTGGAAGTCATGTCTACCTATGCGAGCTGGGTCCGAGCACCACTTCCTTATGCTGGGAGTGTGTACAGTGAGTCGCCCTGCCAGGCACTGCCCCGGGCTAGGAGATGAGCTGCAGCATTCAGAGTCAGAAGTCCCCCTCCATCTAGGGACAGCTCCTCTCCACCTCCAGCAGTTCCAGAGGGCATGTGCTGCAGTTCCTTCTGCAGGCGACAGGCCCCTGCATGGCTTGTCCTACAATACAGGTCCTTCTTGCAAATGCCTGAGAAGCCTGTCTGCCTGGAGGGATCCAAGGGAGGCAAGCTCCACTCCTTGGTGCTCTGTCCATACCAAGTCCTTTGTCCATCAACTCTAACACCAGGGCCCAGACCTCTGCCCGTGACTGGCTCTGCTGTGCATGGGCCCCTTTGGCAGGCCTTCTCTGCATTCTGGGCTCTTAGAAAAATGACGTGGTAACACAGTGGGCCATTGCCCCGCCTGCAAATGCTCTGAAGCATCTGGGAACTCTTTGCCCAGCCCTATCTGCTCCTGGATGCCCACCCCAACGCACATGCAGCCTGAGTGTGCCAGTCTTGGGGTTCAGAACCCCCCCCAACAGACCCCTCATAGGCTTGTGAAGCACTGAGTCCAATGCTCTTGAAGACAGTGGGTTCCATGCCCTCACTATTGCCCTCCATCTCACAGGCGGCCACCATGGTCCTGGGGTGGGTAGGAGTTAAACCCATCCCACAGACCTCAAGCACATGGCTGGAACACCCCGCAGTGTCATGTTGCCAGAATAACGGGGGCATAGCCCCGTGGGTAACAAGGTACTGTGAAATGCCGGGCTGTGAGCGTCTCCCTACATGGCCATCACCTTGTGGTAGGGTGTCACACAGGAAGTGACTTCTGAGCTGGCGGGGCCACCTGGCAGAAGAATGGATGTTTGTTTGTGTGAGGGGGACAGAGCTGGCAGGGCTCAGGCCAGGCTGAGTGGACAGAGGGTGCCCCAGACAGTGGCGCAGCATATGCAAGGGCCTTGGGATGGGAATCAGCCTGGCGCACCAGAACAGAGGGGAGAACGGGGGCTGGGGTTGGAGGGCCAGAGCAGCACGGTATGAAACGGCAGAAGCAACAGAGGTAGGCAGGGCAGGAGGGTGCAGGGTGCCTGGCTGCTGGTGGGTGGGACACCCTGTGGATCGAGAGAACTAAGGCCACTAACTGCTTCTGCACAAACCATTCTGGAACTTGGTAGCAAGTGGGCATTAGGAAGTGAAGTGAGGGCTGTGGGGCTGTACAGGTAGGCACAGAGGGGCAGCGGGGGCCCCCGGAGTTGGGATGGCTAAGGGGTAGTCAGCTGGGGTTGAAGGGCAGGCTAGAGGAGAAATTGAAGATGCTCAAGGCTTTAAAAAAAAGAGAAAGCAGATTGCCTGATGTGAAAGGCCAGGGCCAGGGTGGCTAATGGTGTCTGTGACTGAGCTGCAGGGCCCACGTGGAGAGCAGGCAGGGAGGGGTGTGGAGGCTGAGATCTCAGTCTTCACAGGAACTGAATGTCACCCCAGGGCAGGAGTGCGACTTCCCTGTTCCGTAGGGTAAAGGGTCATCAGGAACGGATACCCAAGACTACAGAGCTGGAGTGGCAAAGAGCTGTGACACCACCTGATTTCTCTGATTGTCCCCAGAAAGCCCTCCAAGTGTGACAAGTTCCAGGAAGGCACCCAAGACTGCTCACGACCTTAGGACCCGCCACAGACTCCGGCCAAGCCCGGGTGGCCGCAGGGGGCACTCCCCTTACCTCACCATCAGCTCTGCCAATTGGGGAGCCCAGAACAAAGTCGGAAGGGGCGATCACGTCCACCAGAGCCACCGCATCATCTTTCAGCTGTTGGGAAACAAAGTGCGTCCACTTGGCGACGCCCTACGGTCTCCAGGGCAACCATGGAGTAACACAGCCACTCAGCTGGTTGCTACAGTACACTGGAAACCTGAGCAGGCGCACAGCACTCTGAGGCCTCACCGGCCTCCTCCATTATGGACTCCCTGGGTGTGCGTTTGCATATTTCCACCATGTCGCCATTCACTCAGGACAGCCAGCATTTGCTCTTGCAGCAAGGCTGAGAGGCTGGCAGAGGTGATGAGTGCAGCTTGTTAGCATGTCCCCGGAGGCTCATCCCAGCCTATGGCCAATCTGGCCACTGCTGTTCTGAAGCAGGAAAGGAAGTCCAGAAGCCACGAGGGCAAAAACGTGCTCCTGAGCTCCTGGGAAAGCTATCACACTTGGCAGCTGAGACGGCGATTCCGTGACCCCCGCTTCCTCACAAAGACTATTATGGAGCCCCACAGAGCAATCGGCTGTGGAGACGCCCAAGGATTTTGTTGAAATGCAAACAATTTTTTTTTCTTCTTCAAATAACCCCTGCCAAGCATACTGAAGTTTAAGTTAACATTTGGGCGATGGCAGAACATGGGCGAACAGCCTCAGGATAACTAACAGTGGGGCCCCCCCCCCCCCCGCACGGTAGGGACAGAGAGGATCCCAACAGAGGTGAGGTGACTCACCTGCTCACACAGTGACATGATGGCGTCCTCCATCGCCCTTCCTGCTTGTTCACCAGAAATGTAGCCACCTGCAAGCACAACCTTGTCAACGCCCCTCGGCCCTGTGGCCCCAGCACATCAGAAGTGGCTTTTTCCACTCAGCCCCATTAGGCCTTTTGGCCAGAGGTGCCGGGGTATCCCGGCACTGACCAGCCTACTGTGATGTCTCGGAAGAAACCTGCCGGCTCGGGGCCAGTTCTGAGGGGCCTTGCTCTCGGGCATGTGTCGGGCCTGGCTAAGAAGCTGGGAGGGAGGCAAGGCCCTGAGGCTGGGGGCTGGGTGAAGTCCTACCACAGGAGGAACAGGGGATACACAGGTAGGCAGGTGTCGGCGTCAGACTACACAGGTGTCCAGATGCACTGCCGGGTGGCTGTGAGGAGCTGGCAGCCAAGAGGGTCATGGGGCTGTAGGGTGTGGGGCACGCAGGCCTCTGAAGCCACCAGGGGACAGAGTAGGAGACCCGCCCTGCCCCTTGGTGCCACCTCAAGCCCACAGCAGCCTTCCTGTAGAAGCTCCACAGTGGTCTGTGCAGCTGGGAATGTATTGGTGACAGGAGCTACTACGCCTGTGACGATTTTCACTAACGAGAAAGGTACCTGGTCACCAGGCCCTCTCAGACTGAGGTCTAAGCGCCAGCCTCACCTCGGTAGAGCAGGGCCATATGCCGGTTCAGGGACCAGAGGCTGTAGAGCATGCCGAGCCGCCGAAGCACGGCCTGCAGAGATGGAGGCACGCTGGAGCTGTGTGTGTGCGTGTGGAATCGCTGCACCACAGTGAGCTCCAGGAAGGCCAGGGCCAGGGGCCGGCAACAGTACACCTGCGAATAGAACAGAGGCTTGGTGTGTGCTGGAGGCAGCCCATCACTGTGACTGTACAACGAGGTCTCGTATGAAGAGAATACAGGGAACTGCGGACTCAAGTCCATGTGCGAACACTCGTCCTAGGTCGGTACTGTGAGGCTAAGCAGCATGGGGATACAGTATGACGCACACACGCACGCACGCACGCACGCACGCACGCACGCACGCACAAACACAGATCTCCAAGTGGAGCTAGGCCTGGAAAAGAGAAAGCTATAACATTTACACACTCCGAGACAGCCCACGTTCACTTGGCCCCATGCCCAACTCCTAAGAGAATAGAGAGAGGCCCAACAGGCTGTCACTACAGTAGAGACACCAGCAAGTGGTTCCAGGGCACAGAACCTGTCCTCTTGTGTGGCTAGGGGTGGTGTAGGAACACAGGTCTTACTGGACAGGGCTAATGCTACACTGTTCTCCAGGGCTCCCGAAATGCAGAGCCCCTGTTCTGATACTGTGTGTGAGATTGGCGAGCGGCCACGGGTCCTGCGGGGTCCCCTCTCTCGACACAGACTGGTCACCTCCCTAGGGAGGCTAGCCCCCAAAGGCCCCTTGGGGCAGCCTTCTCTGATAACCGAACCGAGTGCTGACGACCGTGAGGACATCTTTCCCCGCCCCCAGTGCATGGCCTCGCCGGAACTTTTCAATCCACAGAGGATTAAAATGCACACGGGTGCGGCTTGACTGTGAACCCAAGCACGGGCTGCTTCTGGGGGTGTGGGGCACACCAAGCCGGGGGGCCGGGGAGCAGAAGGCACTGTGGCCCTTCCCAACTGAAGATGGCGGCTGAGAAGTGCTGAACGGAGGGGCAGGAAGGGGTGAGGGGTGGGCTGCGGAGGCGCCGCCCCACCGAGAAGCCCTGACTGTGGGTCCTCCCTCCCCACACCCCACTCCAGCTGCTGCTCTTCTGGTTTCCGGCAGCCACTCCTGGCACTGCCAACATGGCACCCTTCACCTCTCCCACAGGCGGCAAGGCCGGCAGTCACGGCCGTACAGGGTTGGAAGGGCAGGGCCTGCAACTGCCCGGGACACTGACATCTCACAACAGACACCGGGGCAAGCCGAACAGATGCAAACCGGGAAACGAACCCACCTGGCTGTTGTTCCTTGCTTCAAAGTCGCTGCCTCTGGACTTTTTCTCTTGACAGAATTTCTGATGACTCCCTTGGAGCAGGTAGCAGACAAGCCAGCGGTATGCTGCCAGAGGGGCTTTGGGGGGGACACAGGGAACGACTGAGAACGCCTGTCACCACACGTGTCACCCTGGGTACCCTGGCGGTCTTCATGAGGGCGGTAGAGGACGGGCGTCTTGCGGACCGGGAAATCTAGCACTGAGGGTAGCTGCCCGAGGCCCTCTACCAGGTGAAGCTGGGGTGGGTGTGACTGACAGCATTTCCACGCTGTCACTGCAGCTTTGTGACTGCAGATCACAGGGCCACTCAGTCAGCTAAGACGCAGTGACTGCTCTTTCAGGGGCGCTGAGGCCTACGTGGGCATCAGAGTGCCTAATTGCCAAGGATGGCCAGGGGCTGAGAGGATGAGCGCCTGTACTCCCATCCTCAGACCCACTGGTCAGCTAGAGGGCTGTAGGTTGGCACTTGCCCTGCCAAGGCCTCAGCCTAGCATGCTGCTCCCTACAAGCTCCCCCTGGCAGCAGAAAGCCAGCTCCAGAGGGGCGGACTGCGGTGGGTTACTGGGACCTAGCCAGCCAAATGGCAGAGAGGCAGAAGCGGGGCTTATCCTTCCTGCCACACCTGAGCTGACGTCCCACACTACTCAGGACACGGCACTGGTGAACAAGGAGGGCACACAGCCATGGACGGGAAACAGGTTCTGACCAGACATGGTGGGGTCTATGCTCTCCACATCCTACATGCAGAGGGAAGCTACGGCGGAAAGGTAGGACGCTGTGACTTCAGTCTCAGGTGTTCTAAGAGCAGGTGAGGCAGGGCTGGGGTCTGGGGTGGTACACCCTTCTCAGGGTCCTCCCAGGTGTGCTGCAAACAGGTGGTCCCCAAATGTCTACCGGGTTCTGACCCCTGGAGCCCGTGACTGGCTTTATAAAAAGGGTCTGTGCACTGGGAAGAAGTAGCTAATAAAGCGGTCACCCTGGATCGAGGCAGGCCTCAAATCCAACAAGGGTCCTTATGTGGAGGACACAAAGGATATCTTGCGACAACAGAGGCAGAGGGTGGAGTGTCACGGCCACAAACCAAGGGTGTGCCTGGAACCCCCAGGATCAGGGAGAGGCAAGGAACGAAACTTGATTTTGGATGTCTACTTCTACACTGTAAGACAGTGGATGTCTGGTTCTTTCAATACCCAGACATCCTCAGGACAGGATCCAGGGCTGCCTGATGGTCACCCTTGAACCTTAAATGCCATCCTTAGCTTGTCAAACACCTGCATCAACTTCCGGAGGCCACAGCCGAGGCTGGGGTAATGCCCATCCCTTCTTAGTTTATGAGGCTCACTGTTTCCCAAGCTCCAACCAAAGGATCAAGTCCTGGGCAGCAGGAAAGGCGGGTGCCACAGAGACCTTTCCAAGACTTATGGACAGCAAGAAAACCAAGGAAATGTGGCAAGCTCGAAAAGCACCTGCCCCCGTCAATGGTCACCCAGGTGTAAGTGCCACAGTCCCTCCCTGTGGCCAGAGGCACTCCTGGCAGGAGGAGGAAAATGCCAGGCAATGGAGGGGAGAAGGCTAGTACCTGCTGAGTCCAGCCAGTCAGCTTGGCTGGAGCCTGTGAACTTCTGGTCCAAGATTCCAGGATAGGCTTCCAGAAAGTCCACTGTCTTGAGAGGGCTTGTGAAGGCAGCTCCGTCTAGAGCACACACTTCCGTGACTTAGGAGAAAGACAAGGAGGCCCCACCCACAGAGCCTGGCCAGCGAGCCCCTCCATCTCTGGCTGGCCGCCTCCACTCTGCCTGCACCTAGGAAGCCCCTCTGCTACCAGGTGATGACCTTCATTCGCCCTGCAGATGGTCCATCTTTGCTTTAGCTTTTTATTTTTGAGACAGTGTTTTGGTTTGGTTTTGGGAGACAGGGTTTCTCTGTGTAGCCTTGGCTGTCCTGGAACTCACTCTGTAGACCAGGCTCTGCACGAACTCACAGAGATCCGCCTGCCTCTGCCTCCCGAGTGGCAGGATTAAAGGCGTGCGCCACCACCGCCCGGTGAGACAACGTCTTGCCTCTCCCTTGAGATGCTCCCTCCTTGGCCCCCTGAGTACTGAGATTATGGGACTGTGCCACCATGCCCGGCTTGAGGACACACCCTGCCACAAGCTTGGAATGCCCCGGGACTGAGAGAGCCCTGCGCCTGCTGAGCTCAGCTCCCACAGAGGCGCCCACCTTGGAGCCGGCGTTCCAGGAAGCTGAGCAGGTAGTTGCTGGTCTGTTGCAGCAGGACGTTGTTGTCGCCTTCATAGGTGCAGTTTGGATCATTGTCATTCCTGAGGTCACCAAGCCGATTCACTGCAAGAAAAAAAAAAAATGCCACATTGTCACTCAAGATGCTCTGAGAGAGGCCCCTCCCACAGGCCCACCAGTCTTGGCCCACATCTGCTGGCTGTGCCCCATCCTTAGGGAAGAAAAGTCACCTCCAGGAACGCTGTGGGATGGCACAAGAACACTCAGTACAGGTTGGTGGCAGTGAGGACCTAGGACCGTCACCTTCCTGCCTGTTGGGATTACCTGAGGAATCACCTAGCAGAGCTTCGCCAGAGCGTGGGGACCACTCCAGAGACAGGGCATGGGGCTACTCTTCTAGCTAAATGAAGCCTTAAAAAGCTGAGCCGTGGTGGCTCACGCCTTTAATCCCAGCACTCGGGAGGCAGAGGCAGGAGGATCTCTATGAATGCAAGGCCAGCCTGGGCTACCAAGAGAGCTCCAGGAAAGGCGCAAAGCTACACAGAGAAACCCTATCTTGAAAAACCAAACAAACAAACAAACAAAAAAGCCAATGTCTAACCTGAGATTGCTCTCAGGTTTATACTGTCTCCTGCCATGCAAACAGCCAGGGCTCTGCGTGCACTTCAGGAGATGTGCTTTGCCCGGGGCCTGCAACCTCTCAGCCCTTCCTCTGATGGAAAACATTCCCTCCAGGCAGATGGAGGAGCCTGTCCAGCTCCCGGCTCCTCCACGCTGCAGCTAACACACAAGGTAAAGGTCTGGGGTGGATCTCCTGGGGGACCAGACAGCTGACACGTAACCTTGATGTGACTCTTTACACTCCTGTTGACTTTGGTCCCTGCATCCTGGTAAGTCATGAGCCATGAGTCGGTCATGTTTGTCTATCGTGCTTCAAGACGTAATTTCCTTATTCTATTTAAAACCAGAAGACCGCTGAACTGTTTATGTGTTTTTGTGAGTCGTAACAACAAATAAAAGCCCTACCGAGAACACTGCAGAAAGGACAAAAACACGTACACAAATAACTCAAGACATGGCCACTGTGAATCAGTGCCAGTAAGAGAGAGCGTGTGGGGGAGTGGAGGCCAGACCAGAACATGCTGCGTGGCAGGGGCAGACTACTGGGAGCATCAAATCCAGACTGTCACAGGAACGTCCACAGCTCCACAGCATGAGTGGGCACGGCTGAGAGAAAGTGTGTGCCCAAGTGGGCATGGCTGAGAGAGAAAGTGTGTGCCCGAGTGGGCACGGCTGAGAGAAAGTGTGTGCCCGAGTGTGTACGGCTGAGAGAAAGTGTGTGCCCGAGTGGGCATGGC